GATAATCGATCTGGAAAACTCGTACTGAGGAAAGCTGTGGACTATGAGAAGATTCAACGGTTTGACGTCGAAATTGAAGCTTGTGATCATGGAGCGCCGATTTTATGTTCTACACTGGATATTCCCATAATTGTTAAGGTATGTTTGATCTGCGTGCGGAGCATATCCGACTGACAGCTTTTTTAGGATGTAAATGACAACTCGCCCGAGTTCCACTGCTCAACATTTTATGCTGCACTGCCTCTGAATTCACCCCCGGGTACTCTAGTCACTACAGTGACAGCGGTAGATCGCGATTCTGGTGTAGCAGGACGGGTCTATTATGCCTTACTGGACGCAATCACTGGCTTTACTATTGATAGATCAACAGGGGAGATAAGGACTACGGAAAGTTTGAAGGACAAAGTATATAAAGTGAGCTACAGTCTAGAAATTAATGGACTAACAATAGTTGTGAAAAAAGAAAAGTTGTCTTTTAGATTCGTATTGGAGCAATGGACGGCAACGGCGTTATGTCTACCAACAATGCTACCGTAACACTCTACACCACTAATAGTTCCATATTTGGATGGACAGAGGGTCCAGACACGATTGATGTGAACGCTTCTGTCGTAGCTGGCGATGTTCTTACCACTTATAAAACGGTGAGAAATATATTTTTTTGTAATTTAGAATGATAAATATTTAGTCTCTTTTAACGTAAAACTGAATTAATTGGTAGTTGACACCATGCTTAATACATACGTAGGGATATTTTAGACCCCTGCATCTTCCATTAAATCAACTTCGCAACTCCTATCCATAGATGGACAAGGCAGACTTACAATAACATCCTCAATTCCAAACAAAACGGATGCCCTTCATGCAGTACTGATTGCTGAATCCAGCGGAGTCTCTATTAGCAAGTGCATCCAACTTCGAATAATCCGTGACCCTTCTCCACCTGCATTTCCAAAAAAGACCATCAAAATGAAACTAGCTAGAGACTCACCTCTTGGAATGCAAGTTCTGAAGGTATGCTTTGCTCACCTCTGTTAATCGATGAATCATTAAGAGATGCAGCTACTATTCAGGTGGATCCTGGTGTTGAAAGTGAATTCAAGAGCGACTGTCGATGGTTTAGGATAGATGGCAATGGAGTGGTCTCTGTTAAAGAACTAATCGATAAATCGATTGATAGTGTCCAATGTGCTGTAGAAGCGCAGGATCTCAAAGGCAGAAAGGATGTGCTCAAACTGCAACTCACAATGGAGACTCTTGAGAAGGTAAATCGATTAAGTTAACCTAAAATATATGGCCATCACTA